AACTCTTTGCGGTAACTTATATATATAATATATATATAATAATAGCTTTATTTCCATTACAGGTAATGGCGGAGCCGAGAAAAAAAGCCGCACTAGGCGGCTTGACGAGCTCTCGGCCCCAGTACATTCTGCAGCAGCAGTGGAAACTTTAGTTTATACAAAAGATAATAACAAAACAAGAAAAAAAACGCACACTTTTTAGGGTTTGACAATAAAGCGTGATAATATCTACGTTGATAAATTAAGCAAAGTGATACGTAGCCCTTTCAGAGGTGTTTCATGCAGGCAAACATCACATGAATGCAAAAAGTTGAGAAGCCTTGGGATACGGTAGGCCAACATTTCCATCCCGGAATTCAATCGGCAAGTAGGTACTTGCCAAGGATCAGAGTTTCGAAGCGTATATGGTGCTACATGTTGCTGCAAACAAGATAGATCAATCAAGAATGAAGTATTATTTTGTGCTTCTGCCTTAAGCCTTAAGGAAAGTCTATAATTGTAAAGCTCATGAACACTAAGTACATTATATCTTTTAAACAAGCTTTCTGTGTGTGATAAATAACTTGTATTTGCAATAATCCGTAGCATTCTTTTTTGAAATAAGTATATTTTTTCTAGGTTCGTTGCCGTAGTTGTACCCCAGACCAAAGAGCAGTAATTTAGGTATGAATAAAACAGTGATTTATATAACAACATTTTGACAGATGGTGGAAATGTATATCGATGGCGGCAAACTAATCCAATAGTTTTTGACAATTTCCTACATAAATCCTGAATATGTAAGTCCCATGACATATTCTGAGAGAAAACAACTCCCAACGTTTTAAAATTGTCGACCAATTCGATTTCGGTAGAGTCAAGAATAATTGGCTCTATAGATTCGAGAACTTTATTCTTAGGACGGAACATAACAGCCTTTGTTTTATTTATGTTTATTTTCAAAGCGTTCTTATTAGTCCATAGAAACATTTCCCCCAGTACTGAGTTTATTTTATGTACAAGCTCATCTGCATCCTTAGCCTTGTAAAGTAATGTCGTGTCGTCTGCGTACATTACAAATTTTATTGATGGGTCAATATTTAGGATGTCGTTTACATACACATTAAAAAGAAAAGGACCTAATATACTTCCTTGTGGTACTCCAACAACTATCGGTTTTATTACAGAAGAAAAGTTATTGTAGCACACATATTGCTTTCGGCTTTCTAGGTAAGACTGGAGCAGAAGTAAAGCCTGACCCCTGACACCATAAGATTCGAGTTTTAGTAACAGCAATTTATGATTCAAATAATCGAATGCTTTCGTGAAATCAACATAAACCGCAAGCACTAGTTTTCGATCCTCAAGACTTCTTAAAATAAATTCTTTTTCTTCAAGGAGGGCTAGTTCAGTTGAACGATGTTTACGAAACCCGAACTGCGATTTGGTAATTAAGCTGTGCTTATCAAAAAAATTTACCAGACGTGCATAAATAACTTTTTCAAGTCCTTTCGAGAAAACAGGGAGAATCGACACTGGCCTATTATTGTTAATATCGTTCTTATCACCTTTCTTGTGCAGTACACATACTTTAGCAATCTGCATACGTTTGGGAAAAACGCCAGCCGATATGCACAAGTTAAATATATGCGTTAAGTATCGTGCCACTAAAGGTACAACATATTTCACAGGTTTGATCTGGATATCATCTATGTCTCTGCTTTTCGTATTTTTTAGGTTTATAAACACATTTGATACCTCGAACTCGGTGACAGGATCCAAGAAGATTGAATTCATGTTCCTATTTTTAATATATTTGCAGGCGTCTGAATCATGTGTCAAAGTAGCCAGGTTAACAAAGTGATCATTAAATGCATTAGCCAGATCAGTACCCTTGAGTCCTTTGCCATTTACGCGTAGGGTTTCAACGTAGTCATGCGCCCTATTGTCTTGTAGGACTGAATTAACCTTTTTCCAAATTTCGTCCACACGCCCATTGGGTGACTTAAAACTATTGTAGTAATAACGGGTCCTGGCATTTCGAAGCTCCTTTGTCAGCTGGTTCCGATAAAATTTGAATTTCTTAAGGTCGTCTGGATTTTTCGATCTGTTAAATTTCTGAAAGAGGCGATCTTTTATATTGATTTTAGCTAGATGATCTTGGGTAATCCAAGGCTTTCGAATTTTACCTGATTTTTTAATTTTCTTATAAGGAAAGTTTTTTGCATAAAGAATTTTGAACTGGTCCAGAAATACATTGTAAGCTACATCGGGATCTGTTGCGTTAAGAACGTCATTCCAGTTTTCATTTGCAATATCATTACAAAACCTTTCAAGATTATCAGGTGTAATAACTTGAAAATATATAGGTGAGTGCACACTATTTTTGAGACAACGTGCATCTTTTATGCATAGGAATATTGGGAGATGGTCGCTAATATGAGACATAAAAATCCCTCCTTTTAGGCGGGTAACCTCAGCGTTTGTTATAAAAAGGTCGATACAGGTCTCCGACTGCTGTGTAATCCTTGTTGGCTTCGTGATTACGTTGACACATCCATATGTTGTAAGCAACATTTCTAACTCAATACTAGGCATAGCACACAGCAGCATATTGATATTAAAGTCCCCGCCAATTATCACGTTCAGGTTGTTGTCACCAGACTTGTACGTAATCCGTTACAAGTAACGAAATTACTTGTAATCCCTTACATTTATCAGTAATTTAGTAACGGAATAATTACATATTTTCTAGAGTAATTTTAAAGTAAATCCCTTACATTTTTTACGTAACGGATTCCTTGTAATCCGTTACATTTTTTTTTGTCAGAACCAACCAACCCCCCCCCCCCCCCCCCCCCCCCCCCCGCGTCCCTTCTAAATAAAGTTTTTTTTTTTTTTTTTTCTTCCGTTTCGGTAAAGTTGGGCGCTGTGACACTCACGCGAAGTGACCAGCGCAAAGGGAGGCTTGGCGCTCTTCAGTTTCGCAAAGCCTTTTTTTTTTCCTTTTTTTTTTGCAACACCAAGCCCGTGAATCTATTTATTTATTTGTTTAGGCCCTAACAACAATGTTAAAAAATCCAAATGAACATTTCTACAAAAAAAAAAAAAAGGGGGGGGGGGGGCAAGTTATTTCCGCTTTTTTTAGTCCTTTTTTTTTTTTGCGATTGAAGACGGGGAGAGGAGGACACCAAGTTATTGTGTGCCTCTTCGGGAAGCTCGAGGTGGTAAGTGCACTGAAAAGGATTAACAATGTCCTTCCCGGTTATAGTGACTACGACCGTTTTCATAATGTCACCACACGAGACAACGCTCCGTCTACCCTACCCTTTTTTGAGTCTGCTTTTTGCGAGCACTTAGAAAATGGTAATAGTCTTCGTTTCTTCTTCCGGTTTTGCCCCAGCAGAACGCATCTTATCTCAAGCAGATATTTTTACAAATAAAACATAATGGTGGCTGACGTAGACTTGATATTCTGGGCTTGAGGAGAGAGTGAAACTCATGATTGGGACCATAGAGCAGCTTACTTCTCTGCCCTTCGGTGCTCCTGACATCAGCGGACGTCTATCTGGAGAACACCGGAGTAAACTGCAGTCGGTTCGCGCACCCTGCATTTTTGAACTGCACCAAGAAAGGTGCACACGGCAAACGTGCGTATACATTTCCTTGCTTTAACCGACGTTCTAATTAATTGTTGTTATGAGTGTCCTTCTTTTTCTTCTATTACTTATATTTATATAATGGAAACTTTTTTTATTCACCAACGTCTCAAGTGGGGCTCGAACTGTTCAGAACCAAAGGAAGAAGAAGATCGAGCCAAACCTTATTTATTATTTAATTATCACCTTACTGTTACAAACTATGTTTTGCTATTGATGACTTCCACAGCTTCGCGATTTAAACAATGAAGAATTTTAGTAGCTCGGTCCGATGACTCCGATAACGATATCCGATACTTCGCCGCCGTCCTTGCGCATCCATCATATCGTTATCAGGTATCGTTATCGCGGGTATCGGAGGTATCGGAATATCTACTAAATCTCTCGAATATCAGGCAACGGCTGCAACGGCGAAGCTTTGTTCTATCTTCGAGGTAAATAGTACTTCCCTTGCTTCGCTGAAAAAGCTCAACGCAGAGCATAAAACATTCGTGAGGAACAATTTGGCACTCCCATCCAGTGCCTCAGCTCAAATGGTGTTCAGCGTAGCAGTCGACATATTGAGTAAGAGATAATGCAAAATGTCTGACGAGACATATAAGAGCCAGCTGTTGCTAAAACACTCAAGGTCATTAAATGGAACAGGTTGCAACAATAAGAACTTGAATAATTCCTCTTCCCTTTGTTTCTTACTTGAGGACAACAATGTTAAAAGTAACGCCACGAAAGTAACGGATTACTTTTTGGGGTAACGGTCACTTACTTTCATAGAAGGGTAATTGTAATTGTAATAAATTACAATTTAGCCTTGAGTAAATGTAAATGTAATTCCTTACTATTTTTTAGTAACGTGTACAAGTCTGGTTGTCACTAACGAATCCCAGAAGGCTCTCAAAAAATGCTAAAAAATTTGAAACGTTACCGTCAGGTGGACGATAGACGACAGAGATAAGCATATCGCCTGATATGAGTGATAACACCTCGTAATCATGGGTAATCATACAGAAATTTGGCAATAAATTATGTGACATGCTTTCATCTATCAATACTGAAACACCTCCGCCACGACTAAAGGTACGATTTAAACATAAGCATTTGTACGATGGCAAATGAAATGCATCCGCTTCGTCAGAATACCACGTTTCAGTTAACATGATCACATTAAATCGAACTGAAAACTGGCTAAAAAGACATTCAAGATCTGCCGCCTTATGCTTAGCTGACCGTACGTTCAAGTGAAATGCTTTGAATGATGAATCAAAACTACGACCAATATGTTGCACGATATCAACAGGAAGCAAGTATGAACACTCTGCCATAACTTTTTTTTTTTTTTTTTTATTAAACAAGAGTTGAAGGCGAGCAAGAATTTGATCAGGAAACTATCGCTTGCAGATCATCCTCGCACCTTATCACAAACGCTCGTTCACCACTTTGGCGACGAACGAAGATCTTTCCGTCCTTGTGCCAAACGTAAGTAAAATCTGCACTCTTTGCCCAATCTTTTGCCTTGGCCAGTAATTCTCTGTTTTGTTTGGTCATGTTCTCATTGATGTAAAGTTTGTTCCCGATGGTACGAAGTCTAGCCTTCCTGCTCAGCCACAGGTCTCTTGTCAGTTGAGATACGAACCTGACAATAATACCTGGTGTCCTGTCAGACTTTGATGGCAGTCGGTGAATTGCCGCTACGTCGGAAATATTCAGTGCAGAAACGTCTAGGCTGCGCGCTACTTCATTGACCTTGTTCAACAAGTCCTCACCGTCAGTCTTCGGAACACCATGGAATTCCAGATTCAGCCTGCGACTTCTCCATTCAAGCTCGTGAAGTTCAGTTTTCATTTTGCTAAGCTCGTCTTTTTTGTTAGCGTTTTCGATTTTTTCAACCCGCCTCTTTAAATCCTTTATATCTTGCTTCTGCTCAGTAATATGGCTCAGTATTTCATCATATTTGTCTGACATAACTTGCACTGACGCTTCAATGTTACCAACTGTTTCCTTTAGGGCTAACAGATTATCTAATTTTTCGTTCATGGCCGCTAACAAGACCCACATGTCACCATCTTGCCTCTGTTTACTTGTCGCGCCACCTTTTAGTTTAGCTGCTCGGCAAGTGGGACACTTCCATGCTTTACGGTATGCTTCTCCTTTCGTTTTTAGCGTTGTTTCGGAAATTCCCGCACAGTTTCCGATGTGGTACGGGTATTCACATTCACAGCACGAAATAGACTGCTCCCTATGGGGTATCTCCTCTTTACATTTTGAACACAATGCTTCCGCCATATATACGAAACACTCGCCGACAAAGCAATAGAAACACCGCTGGCAACGTGAAAAAAAAAAAAAAAAAAAAGTAATACACTAATATGCCAACCAACCTGCAATGGCAGAGGAGCGGTTAGCCCGGTGTTCGTTGCTTGTTGCCGCTGCTGCCAGAAATGACGTGTTCGGCGCTCGGGCTGCCCTTTTATCGCCTAGACAAGGCACTGCACCCGGATGACGCTGGAGGTTGATTTGCGGGGGCGGGACTGTGCTCGTGGCCTCCAGCAGTGCAGACTGTGATGCAGATGGGCCAGCAGCCTGACTTGCGTCGCAGTTGGAACCGCAGCGTTGGGTACGTCGATGCTCACTGCAATGGCAGAGGAGCGGTTAGCCCGGTGTTCGTTGCTTGTTGCCGCTGCTGCCAGAAATGACGTGTTCGGCGCTCGGGCTGCCCTTTTATCGCCTAGACAAGGCACTGCACCCGGATGACGCTGGAGGTTGATTTGCGGGGGCGGGACTGTGCTCGTGGCCTCCAGCAGTGCAGACTGTGATGCAGATGGGCCAGCAGCCTGACTTGCGTCGCAGTTGGAACCGCAGCGTTGGGTACGTCGATGCTCACTGCAATGGCAGAGGAGCGGTTAGCCCGGTGTTCGTTGCTTGTTGCCGCTGCTGCCAGAAAACTTGACTTAACTTGTGATGGCAAAAGATTGAGTAGCATATGACCCTTAATTAAATAAAAAGCGACAACGTATCTTGACTCAAATTGAGCTAGCTTGTCTTCGTTTAGGGACTTTGCCGGACAATGTCGGCTCCAAAGAGGTATTCTCTAGAACCGACAAAGTGCGTACAGCGGTCCTGCTCTATTGCAGAGCGTAGAAAGTCATCACTTAAAACCACGGGTCTAAGAAAAAAAAAAAAAACAAAAAAAAAACGGACAACACAACACGAAATCTTAAGAACACTTCCATACCAAAACAAGAAAAGATCAAGAAAACAGAACATGACGTCTCGAAGATTTGATCAGACGTGGCTTGACAGGCTAAACCCCTACAACACTAGATACGCTTCCGACAGCGAGAAGCCGCTGCCAAGCATCAGCAAAGATAATTTCCGTCAAGACAACGAGATTCGACCAACTTCTTAATCTCTTAGATTGACTTTTCAAAAAGTCATACTGTCCGATCAAGCTTTCTTTTATCTTTCTGCTTCCTTGTGTTGCCTCCTAAAGCCCGCCCCTTTATTTCCCAAGGAGCTCCGGCGGACGCCACTGTTGCTGCCAGTAGCGAACAGTGTGGATGGAAGATTGCCTCGAAACTCAAGCGCGCACACAAAAGAGGTCAGTCGCTGCGCCAACAAAGCGAGGGATGTCTTCTTTGGCACGTTCTCTCCAAATGCTAATGTGAGAGTTTGTGAATGGCTGTCTCCAGGCTCCAAATGTTTGGTTAGCGTGGTGAAACCAAAACAGCAAGAAAACGTCTTTGTGGTTACCAACTTCTCTCTGTATTCCTTGTTCGTTACGTCACACGTCGAAACTTTGAAATGGTCGGCCGACGTCGTTTGTTTTCCACCTCCCAATGTTGAACACCAAGATAGCGACCCCCCAGATACTATACTTCCCTCTCTTTGTTTACGCGGTGGCTGACCTTCCTCGTGTGCGCGCTTCACTTTCAAGGCAATCCGCCATTAAAATATACTGTTCGCAACTTCCGGCAGCAGTGGCGTCCGCCGACACGTCTTAGGAAATAAGAGAAAAGGGGGGGGGGGGGGGGGGGGGGTGCTTATGAGGCAACACAAGGCAACTGAAAGGTAAAACAAAGCTTGGAATAATATGATGCTCCGAAAAGTGAACACACGCAAACTATCTGTAAGCATCATAACCTAACACCCGGAGATCAGGAAGTTGGTCGGTTCTCGTACACTGGTGCTTGGCGGCAAATGCTCGTTGTCGAAAGTGTGTCTAGTTTTGTAGGGATTTAGCCTGTCAAGCCGCGCCTTATCAAATCTTTGAGACGCCATGTCCTGTTTTCTTGATCTTTTCTTGCTTTGGTGTGGTCAAATAAACTGAGCTGTTCTTGCGATTTCGTGTTGTGTTGTCCGCTTTTTACTCTTCCTAGTCCCATGGTTTTAAGTGATGACGAATTTCTACGCTCTGCAAAAAGAGCAGCGCCGTTGTACACACTTTGTCGCTTCTAGAGAATACCTCTTTGGAGCCGACGTCGCGCGGCAAAGCCCCTATAACGAAGACAGATTCTGATCTTTAACGCTTCCTTCGCTGAGCCCGCGGCTGTGTCTGGCTTCTGCCCGGCACGTGCGTGGTATGCTCCCTCTGACTGCTCGTGGGATGACGGTGCTATCAACTTTCCTGGCCTGTCTTTCTGCGTTTTCAACTGTGCCACTATCTTCGGCCAGTTTACAAGCCAAGCGGCATGGACAGCAACGGACTCGCCTATAAACGAGGAAGCATCGACCGCGCCGGACTGTGGGCCTGGTGGCATCGCTGCCAAGATGAGTACTAACTCGCCCTTCGTCTTGTTCGTACAGGTGCGTAATTCCTGCTGCCTTTATACGAAAAAGAGTAGTAGTAGTTGTTTGCTCTTGCTACCAGGCCCCCAGTGTTGTCTTGCTATTGTGTCTGAGTGTACTGCCGTGGTACGGCAGTTGTTGCTCCTCTGTGGAGATGTAGAGGTAAATCCCAGCCATGTCACCACAGAAGCTATGATGGCGTTGCTGACTAAACTTGACGCCGGCCAAACAACTGTACTCGACGAGCTGAAAGCAATCAAAAACAAACTTACACTCACTGACCTGACGGTCAACGCTCTGTCTGACAGACTGACGCGAATAGAGCAGGAGTTTTCTAATTTTAATTCAATCCGAAATGATCTTGATGAACTCCGCGGTGTCACGACGATCCTTACTGATAGTTTAGCGACTCTGGCTGAACGCGTAGATGACTCGGAAAATAGATCGCGGCGCTCGAATCTTCTTTTTTTTTTTGGCCCCCCTGACTCCGATAGGGAAACGTGGGCACCAGTCGGAACAGAAAATTATAAACCTTTGTTCACAACATCTTGATATCAACATCATGCCAGACGGCATCGAGCGTGCCCACCGACTAGGTCGATATCGTCCCGATCAGAACCGCCCGATTATTGTAAAATTTGCTCTTCATAAAACCATAAAACCAAAGAACGAATTTTTTCGCACGGTAAAAAGTTCAAGGACACAAGCTTCGCTGTAAGTGAAGATTTCTCACCCTCGGTTCAGCTTGCTAGGAGGAATTTGTTAACTTTCGCGCGTAACCAAGCTATGCCCTTTTCCTGACGTTTCAAAACGCTCCTCATTGGACAAAAAAGGTACTTTTTTGATGACGCGTCAAACACCGTAAAAGAGTGTTAACTAACCCGATCTTGTCGCCGCGGTCAAGAACCCACACCCCCAAAGCCACTGTCCTTTATTTACACAAATATAAGAAGCGTGATTTCTAAAGAAGACGAGATATGTAGCCTAATTGCATCCACCGATTGTGACATTATTGCTCTTACTGAAACATGGCTGTCATCATCAGTAACTGATACAGACATTTTTACGGGCACTTCTGGGTTCAATGTATTCCGCAAAGATAGGGCAAGTGGCCGGGGAGGAGGGGTCTTGATTGCGATAAAAGATAGTTTTGTGCGCAACCTAAGTAAACTTCTCTTCACCGTTGGAAATGCTACGGCTTTCTTGCAAGGTTCAACATGCTTCGCTCCTTATCGGTGTTTGTTACCCACCCCCTCACAGCAATCCATTTTTTCTAATTAACCTCAACGACGCTTTCAACGAATTGTACCTTAAGTATCCCAAATCCAGTCTTCTGCTACTCGGTGATTTTAATTACCCTTCTATCGATTGGTCCACCTTATCCATTTCAGCCCCCCTTGATACGAGTGAAGCGACTGGTTTCGTTAACGTTCGCCTCAATTTCGATCTTTCGCAGCTTGTAACTAAACCCACACGATCAACCACCCACTCTTCTAACATCCTTGACTTCATTCTTGTTTCTGATCCTGACTCTTTAAAGTCGATAAACTACCTACACGAAATAAGTGACCATAAGGTGATTTACTGCACATTTTCTTTAAATATTCGATCAAAATCGAAGCGGAAGAAAACCGTAAAACTATACGAGAAAGGAAATTTCCAAGGAAGGAATACTGAGCTAAGAAAATCCCTAGATGTCCTTATGATAGACTTTGATAATCGGTCTGTCTGCGAAAATTGGACAATGTACAAATCTAAAATGCAACAACTGGCTGAAAGTTTCATCCCAACTGTGACATTTTTCGAAAGCGCTTCTGCTCCCTGGTTTAATGGCACCCTGAAACGTTTAAGCACGAAAAAAAAAAAAAAGAGGCTCATTCGTAAAGCCAAAACCACGGAGCGCAACTCGGACTGGGTAAGTTCTGTAGTTCCGACAGACAATTCAGAAGCGCAATCAGAACACAAAAACGAGCATTTTATAATGCTGATCTCCCATGCATGTTGCAGAGCAACCCAAAACAGTTTTGGAAAGTTGTTAATCCTAAACCTGATATTGTAATCAATCTTAAAAACGACGACGACTCTTTGGTTCCTGATGAAGAATGTGCAGAAAAATTCAATAAATCTTCAACTTTGAAACTCTAACCAAGCTTTATTGAAAAGCAAAAATCCCGACGTTTCGGAACCAACTCGGTCCCTTGATCACGGGTGACTGTTTTTGTCCCGCGGAACGGCCTGCCCACGAACCCGAACACCCCCGGGTGTTTTCCGGATTATCCCTCTTAACCCCGAAACGTAGCTGCTGGGAAGGGTCCCCGTCGACCGGTTTATGTTGCCACGTGTGCATTGAATATGCCACGACTCCAACAGGAGGCGCCTCCGCCAGTTTTTCTCCGTTCCGAGGATGGAGCTGTTGTCAAGGTCGATGTAGTGGCTCGTCTTCTCGACGTGTTCGGCCAGCGCGCTTCCCTCCACATTTTTCTTCGCGATGTCGTAGCGGTGGCGCCGCAGGCGCTCTGGATAGTTTTTCGTCTCCCCAACGTACGACGCGGGGCAGTCACCGCAGGGAATTTTATAAACCAGTCCCTGTGCCCTCTCCCTCGGGGGGCGATCCTTTGGCAGGGGGGAGAAGGCCGCCGATGGTCGAGACTGGCTTGTGTGATACCGCTATGCCGTACTGTCGCAGTACTCGGGCGAGAACCTCGCTTGTGCCCTTGATGTAGGGTACACACACGCGGGTGGAGGGAGGGGTGGCGTCTTGGGTTGAAGGGGTGCGTCGAATTTTTTTGATCGTGCTTTTTACAAATCTAGCTGGGTAGCCATTCCTCCGCAGGTCTTGTTTGATCGTTTCGATCTCTTTTTGAAGGGTCTCCTCTGATGTGCAGACCGTGATCGCCCGCCTGACGAGTGCCGAAGCCACGGAAGACTTATGTGTCCTAGGGTGACTTGAGGAAAAGTCCAGGTATCGGCCTGTGTGTGTCGGCTTCCTATACACACGGAAGTCCAGGCGGCCGGACTCTCTCACCGCACAGACGTCTAGGAAAGGGAGACAACCATCTGATTCGTGCTCAATCGTGAATTGAATCGCTGGCTCGATGGAGTTTAGATGTGTGTGGAGACGATCGATCTCACTGGTCT